ATAGAAGGACATGGCCTTCAGCAAGGAACAGTGCTGCTGGAAAACTATGCATTTGCCTAAGTGGTGGAGTACAATTTATACTTACACTTTTTCTGGACATTTCCAAGGCAACAGCTGCTCATCCTGAGATATTTCTAGTCTGTGACAGCAGGCTTCAGCAGTCCCAGAGAAGCATGAGCTACCTGTGCTCTTGTTCAAGACTATCAGCCTACAAGGTCAACCCTCAAAAACGTAGCTGAAGAGGATTTTTCCGTCAGGATTACAGTCTCTGCTTTTTAGCTAAAAGAATCACTTGCCACATTACTGTAGATGTTTCAAAACTTTTAGTGGAAAAATGGTTCTTTCCTCCATGACTCTCCACTCGTCAGCAACCTATCTAGTTTGCCAATAGGGAGTTGTGTCCTCTAGGATCCTCTTCTTTCAATAACATATAAGCGTGAAAAGCTCTGGCTTTCAAGCTCCCAGGCTCACTGCAATGGCAGGGGATTTCAGAAACACGTCAAATCTTTCAAAATGAATTGTCACTTGGACTTTTTCAGACCAAAGTTAAAATAATAACAATAATTATACAGCTAAGTTTCTTTTCTTCCATTTTGGAATAGCACATTATTTGACATCTCAGAATTTCCAAACGGGAATTGTGTCTTAGACTAACATTATTTAATACATGAAAGGCCCTGTGCAGCATCCCGATTTCAAGAAAAGAAATTGAATCGAGAGGGACTATTCAAAGAAGCAAGTATTTGTCAGCATAAGCAGATATTATACACTCAGCTCCCTATGAAATTGTTTACACATTGTAAGATGCAGATGAATATATGAATTTTTATTACAGATGAGGTGTGCTATGTGTGTGAGTGACTTCAGGCCAGTTTTTTAACTGATGAAACAAGGTCAGACACTGAAAGATATTTAGGCAGTAAAAGCTGCAGATAAATTTGTCACAAGACTTTCAAAAGGTATCTAGCATTAAATTAATTTGGATTTACATGCTAGAAGTATTGAAAATTTTATTAGGTGCTTTTCTGCACCTTTAGTGGCTAAAATTTCTTTTGAAATGTGGCTCTTCAACATCAATCCACTGCATACAACCAGAAATCTGAGAAACAGATATAAAAGATTTCCTTCACAGAACACTAATAAGCAACTGTGAATATAATTAAGAATATTTATAAAACGGGAATTTGGTTCACACCTTGCTTGCCTCCAACTCTTTTTATACAATATATTATATAGCTGTCACCCTTTAAAGTGCTGCAGGGCATTTACTTTAATGTAAATGTATATTTTTCTATCAAATCTCTATCCTATACTGAAAACATAGCTGCTATGCTTGAATACAGTGCAGCTATTTATTATTTGTATTGATGCAGTAGAGGATGTTCCTCGCTTGGAGCGTAATTGCTGTGATTCTCAGGCATAACATCCCTTCCCAAAGGTTTTCCACCACAACAGCTTAACAGCTAATTCCCACAAATGTTCAGGCAGCAAAACTGCCTTCAAGTCAACCTTCTTCTCTTACAAGAAAAATATGGACTTTGTAATGTATCTAGAAGTTTAATGAATTCAGGGACTGAATTTGTGATCGTGGGATGTGCTTAGAGTAGATCCCCTTGGCTGCTACTCATTTTCTGTAGTAAAAAAGAATGATTTTGTTTATCTCTGCTGATCTAAATTATCATACTGGATGGACGTGAGGAGAGAGGATGCTTCCCCGCTAACAGTAGTTCAAACTTCTTGTGGCTTGGACAGTTTAAACTAAAACTTCTATCTGGCAGCTCCTTGATAAGCAACTGAGCTCCAGAAGCATTGGTGTGGAGATGCTATAAACTCATTTACTTGATCTGATCATTAATCTATCAACTGGGATTGGGTGTTTCTTAGATACGAGAATATTACTGGGATGATTAAGCAATATTACAGCAGAATTTTAATGGAAAGCAAAAATTTCACTCCTCAGAGCAATCTGGGTGAGGCACTGCCATGGTATTCTTTCAAAGTCTTTCTCGTCTCTTTAACTATCAATACCTCTATGAAAGGCAAACAGTTCAGACCGTTAACCTGGATTTTGGGAGAGCTTTTCTACAGACTTTCTGTGTCAAGCAACTCAGTCTCTCAAAGTTTCAGATTCCCAGCTGTTAACTGGGAATCATAGTAATTTACTTCCTCATAAGAGTGTTGTGAAGGTCATCCATTACAGACTGTGCAGTGTTCAGAAACCATGGTCACAGCATACATAAATGCCTATGACACAACAACCATAAGGCAATGTGTATAAATTGTGTCACAAAATGAAACTTCTGGAAAGTCAATACTGCTGTGCAAGAAAGGACTCACAGTAGTGGTACACTGTGTACCAAGTTCAGAGTACAAAAAGAACAAAGGAAAGAAAAGCCATTCTCAAAGGTGATTTAATTCAGTGGAGGTTAACTGGTTTTTCACTTATGACTCTTAAAAAGTTCCTAACTGTACTTAAAAAAAGAAGACAAAAAAAAGACACAAGTTCAAGTTATATGACCACACAACACATATAGACCGAGAACAGGTCCTTTTCTAGTATTGTGCTCCATAAGGCACTTCACAGGTCCATCTTTCAAATACAGGTTTTATGCACCTGTTTAAATGAAAACCACTGTAAAGAGTATCAGGGGAGGAGAGCATAGGGTTCTTCAGGAACATCTCATCATCAACCAGCAAGCAGGAGAACGGCGCAGACAAAATTATCTTGGGAAGGGCTCACTTCCTCTGTCAAGTGTGTTCAGTGGTTGAAGGAGTCCTTGATCTCTGCTCCCCTCTCCACAACGGAAAAGCTGTGTGCATGCTAGAAAGGGCTGTGTGATTTTCTGGGTTGGTTTTGCTTGTTTGTTTGGCCCCATGTAATAATTGGTTCAACCTAGAACAAAAATTTTGCTTCCACTGAGTATTTACTGGGAGAAAAAGACATTGTGCCTGTGTGTCTATCTCGTTCTGTAGCCTGCAGGTTCACAGGCTTATACAGTAAAAAGATGGCTATGAGTTTGAGTCCCTGATCCAATAAATATTTATGTACAACAGTCTGTAGCAGTGTCAACATCAGAGAGATTTTGATCAACTCACATTCCTGGCTAAAAAATACTCTTGGAATCTGATTAATGTGGGTTTAAATCCTCTTAAGTAGAAGACACAAATCTCCCAAATCCCAGCTGAATACCTTAAACATCAGCCTGAAGGGTGAATGATGTGTCTTCCATGATGTGATTACATATAAATTTTTCCCATTTGAAACTATTTATTATTGGTTTCAGATTGGTTTTGGGGGGAAAAAGAAAAAAAAAAAGGAAGAGAAAATTTCTATCTATTCCTAAGTTAAGGTGTAGTTCCTGTATTTCTTGGAGAGGAAGGACTGTAGATTTTATTCTTACATGCCCCTCTTCAACCCACATAAAAGCGTGTGTATGTATGTTGGTTTCTTGTGCACATTCTCATCTGTGCTTTGGCATCACCAGTTTTCCCACAAGATTTTAAGATTATTTTTCAATTACAGCCTTAGCAGTAAATTGCAGTAACTGGGGAATAAAGAATTCAGGTCCTCATCCCTACAGCTTGTATGTTTTGACATCTGCATAAGTGAATTAATTTTCAGAAGCATCGATCTTCCACAGCTCTAATTGCCTTCAGCACCTTAAAAAATTAGTATCCACAACACATTAAAAACCTGTGGGCAAAAATATTGATTTTGCCTCACATTAAACTTCCAGATTATCAGAAAATACTAGTAAGTGTATGGCAGATAATTTAGGAAGTCTGGAGGCTTTTCAATAGAAGATTTTATCTGAGGAATAAAATAATGAACATAAATACATGAATTTTCAGAAGAATTAGTAACCCTAATAATTGTGGGGGGTTTGTGTGTGAAGGAACGTGAGTTGCATAAATACAATCTAATGGCAGGAAGACACTACATTAATGGGAGTTAAAATCCCATGATTAGTTCAAACAATTGTTATATATCAGTTGAATAAATTTCATTAACAAAATAGGAGGGTAAAGGAAAAATTAAGATTTTCCATCTGCTGAATGGAATCATCATATTTACAATTGGCTGCTATGCTGTAAAGTAGTGACCAATAGTGACCACATTAGAAGATGGTGTGCTACCAGAGGATAATAGTTCATAATAACAAGCATTGCAAATTTTTATACCCCCCTTATATAAAACAAGAGTCAATACACTTTTAAGGTAAATCACTGTGGTATCGCTGATAAATAACAGGTTGCATCCACTTACCTGTGTCTCTGCTTTTGCCTTCTGGTGGTAAAACCAAATGACAGCATTCAAGAATAACTTTAGGCCTAACAGACTTGAACAGACCCTTTTCATTTAATGCCAAGTCCTAGGTTTAGACTTGCCAAAAGTAATCTGTTAGTCTTCCCAGACTTTGGAAAGTGGGGATTACCTATATAGTATCTCCCCCTCCACTGCCTTCAGGTACTATCTCTTGTTTTGTTTCAAATCAAACTAATGAACTATATGCGACTGAGATGGAGCTCTCCCGTTCTTCACAGTATCTTGTAAATTCTAAGTCCTCTCATATACAACATGAAGCTTTTGCCTATCAGCTCCTAATTTCACTGAACCAGCGCACGGTCCTGGAGGAAGTAAACACCAACCTTATTTTGAACCCTATTAACCTGCTTTGCCACTTCACTTACTGTGTCTGCCCCAAAGCATTTGGCACTTACTACCACCATACTATAACTTCTACTCATTAACCATGCTACCTAAACAGCATTAGCAAAATGCCTGGAAAACTCAAAGTTGTAAAAACACGAAGTCTGTAAATATTTTATTTCTATCAAGTTAAAAAGTAACTTTGGCTATCCAAGTGATTTTTAATGAAGAACTCAAAAACTTAATAAAAATTTAATATCATCCATCTTTTCTGATTTGTTTACTCTCTTTTATTTTCCATATTTCAGATGTACAACACTGGTTGTCTATATAAGTAAACATAACATACCAAAATCCACAAGCTTGACTCCTCCTTCAGTGGTCAAAAGGATATTATTTCCCTTAATATCGCGGTGGATAGTTTTGTTTTCATGCAAATGCTGAAGTCCCTGGAAGGTGAGATGTAAACATGAACTTTTTACTAACAGCTCTGTTCTCTGTATTACATTTGCAGAAACAAAAAGGTACCAGAAAAGTATGAAAAAACTTAAAACAGATTTTTTTTTTAATCCAAAAACACAGAGATGTCATTCTTACTGGAAAAACACTTGGCACACCATGAGGAATAGATATTTTTTAATTGCCCCACTTTATGTCAAATAGAAATTTTAAGATAAAAGCAGAAAAAAAGCACTATAAATCTACATTATACATTATACCTTTAGAGTATAAACTCAAAGAAAACTGCTAAGGCCTAAATTCCACTGCAGAAAGTCAAGTTCTGGTTAAAAGAAAATTAAAAATAAAGACACTTGATCCTGATTAGCCAAAAAAAAATTTCTTGTAGCAGTGTTTGAATTCAGTAGATCTGTTGATCGTTTTGCTATAAAAATATTTTGGATCCAGACATAAGAAGTTGAACAGTATTTTGGGTATATTTCTGCTATTTCTCAAAAGAAAAGCGATTTTGATGCAGAACTCTATTTACTAAGGAAAGGAATCAATAATCAGAAATAAATTTTCATTCTCTTAATAATGAAACAAACAGATGAATTGTTCTTTACCTTGTTTGTTCAAAAAGAACCGTCTGAATTACACATTACTTTGATTTCATTAAACACTGCTATAATATAAGATAGTGTGCCATGTTAGTGGGGACATGATCCTCATTCATTCAAAGAAAAAAATATGAGCTGAATATTGACTGTCCTTTCACTGAGAGCTTATCTTACCATCAGAGCTTCGCGTAAAATGTAAGCAATTATAAGTTCATTCATCCTTTCACCTCTCTTCAGAAATCCTTTCACAAGATCAGTCACAGATCCACCATTGCACAGCTGCAAAACATCAGGGGAATATAAAAAGGAATTAGGAGTGTTGCAGTAGCCACCTGGTTTTAGTTTTCAGTAGTTTTCATATTTGTAGCCAAATGAGCTCCTATTAAACTGGCAAACCACAAATTTGTCCTTATGTCTACCATTTATATAAACAACATACACAGCAACTTTTGCCAATTTTTTTTCACTACTTTCTGCATTTAATTCCTCTTGCCCAAATACAAGTACAGCAGCCTACCTCTTTGCTTTCCTATATATGTGATTACTTTTCACCGAAACAGAAGTAGCTTATAGTGCAATAAATTTGCTGTGAAGGCATGTTCTGTGGGGCACGCTAATTGCTTCTTATATTCATCATGTGCAACTCACCAGCAATGCAGATTATTACAGCATCAATTCTCAGGTACAAAAGCTACATACAACATAAAATGGATTTAAGGCATTAGAAGACAGGCGGCAGAGAAATTCCCCCAACAAGAAAATCTTCCAAGGGGAAAGGGGAAAGCTGCTCTCTTTGCCAAGCAGCACATAATTCCTAGTGTAGAAGGATGTTATACAGAAGGGGTGGGCGTCATGGAAGATGATGAAAGCACTGTGGAAAGAAAGGTCTCCTCTCCCACTGAAACAAGGTGGGCCACGGGTGTAAGACTAATTATAGCCCTTGTAGCATCAACCCTGTCAGCTTCTCGTCCGAGATGCAGAGCCGCAATCTACTCTGGACAATCCTTTCTCCTGTCTAAGGTCCAGTGAGACTCCCGCAAACCTCTCCCGTGTACACAGGAAGCAGAGGTTTGGCCTTGCTCTCTAAAAAGATTAGCAAGCACGCATTACCAGCAGATAGACCTGCAATATTTCATATGCTCATTTGTATCACTTACAATTTTTCCGCAGGAAGAAGCAACAATGTAACTTTAATGACTAACTCCGTGGCAGTTACATACCCGCAAAGAGGAAATCATTACTTAAGCCCTTAAACTATCCATAATGCACGTAACAATACTCATTGATTGAAGAGCCGTTGCCTTTGTAAAGGAGTAGCTGCTTCCAATAAAACAGTGAAACGAATTGTAAGTTTTATACTGTATCATCCAGTAGCTTTTCATAGGAAAATAAATACCCACATAAGACATTTTACCAATGTAGCACAAAACAGTAATTCCTTTTGGCTACAGATTTTGAAGTCTATTCAAACCGAGGGCATAATTTATCAATAAAACCTTTCAACTACAGAACTCTAGACATCAGATACTTTTGTAAATGATTTTTTTAATCTGTTCTTCTATACCTCTACATTTTTTTCTGTGCTGCAATTACAAAAAGACTTGCACCTTATAGTATAAAACATTTTATAGCCCTTTATACCCAAACATAACAATAATTTTCTGACTACCTTTGGAACCCCTGGGTTGCATTGAACTTGCACCACATGAATGCCTACACAAATACTATTCAATACATAAGTCTTGTTGCAAGATGTGTCCCCCAACAGGTCAATGAAGGCTCCGGTCTGATAGATGCTGAATTCTATGGCAACAAACTTGGAACTCACTTAATCTCACACTTCAGTGGGACAATATGCATGCTTAGAGAGGGAAGAACTCGTATGCTTAAATGATGAGATTAAGCGCTTTGCTGGATCAGGGTCAGATTCCCAAGCAGGATTTAATTTACTGCCCTTAGCCATGCTGGTCTGCCTTCTCCATTGACTTTTTCTAGGTACTTTTTTTTTTTTACAATGACATTATCCTTCCAGGGTCTCTATTGTTTTAACTTTGCCACATCACCGACATGTTTAAGCAAACTGAATGGATGATGACAATTCCGGTTGATTTAATGCACTTGCATTTCAGGGCACTGAAACTGTCTGAAAAGTGACAAACTAATTGTGAAATAAATTACACATGTGATATTCTTCAAACTATTTTTCTTCATTATCTAGTATTAAAATTTTGCTTCTTATAGATGGATCTTCTTCTGTTTTTGTTACAGAGCTGGATATCTGTTAGTCTTTCTGTTCAAGGTAAAGAAAACTTAACACAGAAAGGAATATATTCTTTTTGTAGGTGGGAGGAGGAAGAAACTATACCTCAGAAATCACCTTCTTCAATATTTAGGCAGTAAAGCCAAGACTGAATTTATTTGCCTGGGTCAGCAATGTTAATTTTTACTTTCTTAAACATGTTGCTTTAACTAATTTTTCTACCCCTCTCATAAGATATAAATCCCTATTACAAGATAAATATCTGTATTGTAAGATAAAACTTAGCTAAAATATCAGGCAAAGAAAGATACTAAAACCGTGATTATTTTAGACCAAACCAAAACTGAGCCTGGGTATGTAAAAGGCCAGCTGAGCAGGTCTTGAAGAAATAAACAGAAGTTACCCACACCACCATGGAAATCCTCCACCGACTCCCAAGGTAGGGCGGCTGCTTAGGCAGCGTTCAGCTGAGGATCTCATGGACACAGGTTCTTGCATGCACAGGGCAACTTTTCTTTTGCTACTTCTGTCTCAAGGAGTTGTACTTTTACTTACATGAGACAATTTGTATTTTTCTGACCACTAGCATAGGAGGAAGAGGGGAAAAAAGGCTAGGTATTAGAATGCAAGCAGCTATAAGGAGGAAGAGGGATTATTAGAATAGAAACTACAATTAGAAAAGGAGATTATGGCAGACACTGTATGTGTGTGCTCTGAGCTGCGTGGGGTGGGGAGGAGGGGAACGATGACGACAATGATGACACAGGTTAGTATTAACCCTGTTCTATTTTTCTACAGGCCAAACAAGTCTTCATGGGCAAAACGTTGCATCCGGTCTCATTTCCTATTTCTACTGTCCATTTTTTGCAGGTGAAGCTACCACACGTCCCTATAACCATGCACATAACTAAAGTTCAAATGGTGATTCTTTCTCCTGACTCAGGCTATCAAATTGTATGTGTGTTCAATGCAAGCTTATCATAAACACATCAAAAAGTCCCTCTCATAACGAGTCAGGTTCTTCTCTTCCCTCTCAAAAGTAGCTACAGAAAATTACGATACTCCTGCCCAATGCAGTGCTGGACCATGCTTGCTTGGGAATCTGAGTAGACAGGGAGATAAATTATCCTTGGGGATGTTGACCAGGATCTAGTTCATGACATAAGAAGTTAAAGGGGGAAAAAACCCCTAAACTAAAAAAAAAAAAAAAAAAAATCACATTTCCTTAACTCATGCAGTCCTTCAGTGAGAGATTATGGGATAAACATTATTTAGCAGTACTGCTGGACTGGAAGTTTCCTGAGGTGGTGTTAAATATTGCAGCTTATAGTTATGATCTCTGCTGCTTCTTAGTAGCATGCTGTCTACAGTAAAACCTGTGTAGCCTCTTACCAAAGTTACTGAGTTTGAGTTAAGCTAACTGTAATGCTTGGATGACAAGAAATCATGAAGGCAACAGACGTAATTTTTTCTAAAGATCTTTCTAGTTTTCAGTGGAAGCATCTAGAGAAGAGAGGTGCTGGTAGCTATTATTTCATTGCAACCATTGTGAACTCACATGGCCAAATAGCTAATCAGTCTGTGCCATGACTTCACATCATTTGGTAAAATCTCCTCAGAATACCTTGATAAAGGGCACTATAAGCAGAAAACAAGAAACGCATGGAGAACTTGGGACACAGACATACAGTAGAAGCTATGTGTCTATCTGAGCTGTGCCTATCCTAAAGGTTAAAGTAACTCACCAAAAGCAAATGTCCTTCAAATTGTCATGAGACATGGGCTCTTCCAGGAGGAGGGAGTAATAATTCTATTTGTCTTTCCCATACTCCCAAAAACACACACACACACACATTCTCTCCTGCATGCACACACACATTTCTTGTGGTTCATATCACTTTTATAATACCTATTTTAAGCAACCAGTAGTCCCAGGAGGAAAAATGGGTATGGGAGAAGTGGTGATGGTGTCTGTTAACTCAGGTTTGGCAGCACAAGTAGTAGAAGATGTAAACTGAATGGACTTTCTCAGTTTGCTTCTCAGATAGCACATACTCTGGTATGTGAAATGCCTGCTAAACCAAAGCCCTTCAGTCTGACCTGTTTTTAGGAAGTCTCCAAAGGCTGCATTTTCCCAAGGAAGGATAGAAATCCTCTTCTAAGCTTTGAATAAACTTAATTTAAAGAGAGAGGCTCTTATAAACGTCCAGCCTATGAGACACAGTAAGGGAAGATATTAATGATCCTCCCACAAGGATGTTATTTAGAAATGTCATCTTGATAACTATGTACATGAGCAATTTTCATCAATTTAATGTTAGTCCCTTCTTCTATTGTACCCTTGTGATTTACAGGTATTTTCTTTACAGGCAGTTTTTTCACTGCCTGCAGCGACAAGAATGCAAATATTACCTGCAAACACAAGCAACTAAAAGGGGGGTAAACTGAACCCTTCGGGCTACCTAAAAGGGGGTGGAGAAGACAGAGGCAGACACTTCCCAGAGGCATACAGCAAAGGATGAGAGGTGACAATCCCCAACTGCAAGATAGATTCCTACTGGACATAAAGGAAAAATTTTCCCACCGAGAGTAGTTAAGCACTGGAACAGATTACCCAGCAAGTCGGTGTTATCTCCATCCTTGGAGGTATTCAAAACTTGAATGGAAAAGACCCTGTGCAAACCTGTAACATTGAAGTTAATCATCTTTGAGCTGTAATTTTCTATGATTCATAATATTTGGATTTTAAAATATTCAGTCCCTAGTTTGGATATTTAGACAGCAGAAACAGGGGGAAAGGACTAAGGAAATCTTGCATACTCAGACCAAGGGAAAGAATAATTTGATAGAAGGCTTGATCCATGTAAAAACCTGCCTGAAAGGGCTGTAGCTCTGATGGCCATACCTAGCTGTATCAGAAGATGTGCTTATGACTGCTACAGTGGTAGCAAAGGGCTCCTCCCTTATGATTTTCTGGCACTCAAAAGGCAAAGACTCATACTGGGATGACATACAGTCC